TGTTGGTGTGGGGATTTGTGGATGACATTATGACCTGACCTCATGTTTAATAAGGTCACCCTGTATATTTAAGCCTCTCTCTGTCCATGTAATCCAATTGCCTCAGAAGATGTCTTGAATAAAGACGAAAGCTAAGGTGCTCCGTTGTTTCCCTTTTCCCGTGCGATTTTATCAAGATGATATATATATATACACAAATTCCTCGTTTTAATAATGAGGGTGCCTTTTGTCACAACCCTTATTACTGTAAATAAGAGACATTGCTGTAACTCATGGCAATACATATCATAAAATAATGAAAACACAAGAACAAGATACAGTATTCTACTTTCTAGTAGTTAATGAACTGATTTATCTCAACCTGTGCATTGAATACATGATCATACTGTTAATGCAGTTTTGACTCATGGTTGCCTGAGGGTTCTATGTTACATATTTTACCCAGCAAATTTCTTCCAACGTGACATAAATTTCAGTAAGTTTAATATAAACAATCCCAATCCTACCTCACAGTAAAATCATATTACTAATCACTGAATAACATTTACAAAAGAAGTACAGTACTGTATAATAATAATTTTTTACCTACTAGCCTACAGCAAAATAAAAAACATTTTATTGGAATACAATTTGGATAATATATCGAGTCTAAAGGCAGAAAAATACATACCTGGATCTTATAAGCTTTGGTTTAGTCCAAATGCAAATCTCTGAGTGTCTGTTGATGCTTCAACTTTTGCACACTTATACTGTACAGGTAGTGTAAACAGACTGCAAACACCACTAATACTCATCAACCCCCAAGAAAAACCAACTTCTCAATAATGCAGTCAGTCATAGGCCTACACTTACCACATGAGTCTCATGAATGACTGACCCCTGTATGTCACTACCTGTGTCTGTGAAAACACGTACTTGTACCTCGCAAGTCTAGAGGTACACAACGGCACTAATGAAACTACTCATTGTACATCTCTAACAAGGTAAGGTCCCACAGTATAAAATTATAATTGTTAATGTTTACATACCTGGAAGACGTGATGATACAACAATGAGAATTTGTGTTTTATACGAGTTCGTTCAGTGTTCAGGTATTCATATTCATTGTAGAGTTCATTCTTTCGGTTCTGAATTGCCTTCACCTCATCTGCTAAATGAAGTATCTGGTCTAGTTTACGTTTGCGACAATTTTGTGCAGCAACCTGGCAAAAAAAAAAAAAAAAAAAAAAAAAGAGGAAAATATTGGTTGGAAAATATTCTTAAAATTTCAACAAATGATATACAGACGTCAAAAAATATACCTTTCACTTGTTGAGTTTAATCACACAAAATATCCTAAATAATTTCAGCTTCTCACAGTCACTGCTAAGTCTGAGTAGAGATATTGAGTAAATTTTATAGTCTTATATTACTTTGCATCTTTCACTTATCTCATTCACAAATTTCTTTAGGTACTGTAACTATGAAACACTTGCCGAAGAAACCAAAGTATTCAAGAGGCATTTCATTATGACTTCTCCTTAGTTACTGATTGCATGCTTTTTTGACTAAAACCTTCACAAAATTCCAATACAGAACTTGTGGGGTAGGGTCTTTATTTTTTCCTTTTTTATAACCCATGCTAAGTCACTACAGTACAGTACCTTGTTTTTGCCACGACGACGTATATCTCGGATGAGAGAGAGCTGTGCCTCAGTCAAGTCATACTTAGAGATACGTTCATTGAACTCATCCATAGGTAGATTGATGATGTCTTCACATGAAATAGGGAGGTTCATCGCCCGTGCTCGTTTCTCATCCCGGGACATTGTTCGTTCATGATCATTTTTACGATCTGTACAAAAATAAAATACACATTATCAAGGAAATACATATGCTGTAATTTCTGTTCCAAAAAGATGCTTGGCTGTTAAATAATGACATAAATGGCTGTCTAATTAAGCCAAACTAGTTAATAGAATTAAAATGAATAGTACTGCAGTTTATTCAGAACCTGATATTACAAGTCTAAATTCAATTTCAAGTGGTTCTGGTACTCTCAGCCACCTGAAATATATTCACAACAAATTTATATAATATGTAACAAAGATGGAGATATTGGATAACTTTACTGAAACAGAATCAATGTGGTGAAATGTACTGTATATCTGGTAATATGCCAATGAAATGCTTTAGGGATTGAAAATAAATGAAGATGGGTACTGTACCTAGTTACTAAGTAGCTATAGCTGATACAGTACTACAGGGTATAAGTTTTGTCCATAACACTTACAGCAATGTCATACTGAATGACAATTATAAGCTGAGAGCAGGGAGGAGTAAACTCAACAAAAATATTAAGTGATGCACAAGAAATAACAGAAAATAACTGGGACATGATAGAATTACTTACTTCTTTGTTTGTCTCTGGCAGTCGGTCGTGTGAGGCCAGATGGACCCTCAGGGGACATATGGTACGTGTGATTGTGTTGGACATGCTCCACTCCAGAGCCAGACACTTCTGAAATGGAAAATGTTGAATGTAGAAGACACAGAACATAACAATTCAGCAGCTGAATTAAAACTACCGCTTGTAATGAATAGTTAACCTAAGAATTGTCAAGAGAGTACTGTACTCATGACTACACAACTCATACAAGATGAAGAAATTCATATTCACCTATCCATATATATTATACAGTACTGTACAGTAAAATCCCTGTTAGCAAGAATTGCACTTAGGCATAAAATCCTCAGGCTACACCTTGGAGGGGAAAAAAAAATGGTGATGGGGTTAAGGTTCAATAACTTGTCTGCAACTCGTGGGTAATGCTTCCAACCAAGCCTCTCATTTATCAAATTTAGCACTGTGTCTTGTAGCTTGTTGAAGCAACAAGTGCTCTCAGTTTTGGGATAATAGCATACTGTACAGAAGCTCAGCATTCAAATAAAAAAAATAAAAAGTCTCCGAATACAAATGCAATTAAAATATTGGAGTATAGTATTGTACAGTAATCATGATTATACTGTACTATATTCATGAAAACTTTTATAAAAGCAGGACTTCTATTGCTACATGTACTATAGTATCATTAGTAGACAATCATTTTATATTCAATATTTCATAACTATACACAGGCTATATACAGGCTATACAGTACAGTATATACAAATACAGTTTAATTTATCATTATTATTAATCAACATACAGTACTGTACTTTCAAATCCATTAATACTTATAGTAATATCCAATTCCAATTTTTTATCTTCTAAAATGTTCATACTGTAATATGAATACAGTACAGTACTTGTATGCTTTTTTGGACAGGTGGTCCCCTCTTTTAGTCCAGATCTTCAAGGGTTCACTGTACTGTATAAAATTATGAAAATATCTTAATAGTAAGCAAAATAAAATATACTGTATAATATATATGGTATGTTGGTTAGCTACATCAGTCAGCTTAAAGCAAGCTCCTGCAACCACCTCAACATATCTTGTTGACTTGTTTGATTTGTGTGATATGTACAGTACCAGTCAGATTGTATGCCTCCCATTACTTCAGCTCTATTAACCACTTTTGAGCTTGGATGAAATACACTGCAGTATATTACCTCTTTGCTTTTATTCATATTGCTCCAAGTGGTTTTACATAAAATATCAGCAATAAAATTTTGGAAATGCATAGATACTCTACTTGCATAATAAATACAAGTACTGTACTGTATTCATATTACAGTATGAACATTTTAGAAGATAAAAAATTGGAATTGGATATTACTATTAGTATTAATAGATTTGAAAGTACAGTACTGTATGTTGATTAATAATAATGATAAATTAAACTGTATTTGTATATACTGTACTGTACTTTTAATAAAGTATAAATAAATATAGCCTGTGTATACAGTAGTTATGAAATATTGAATATAAAATGATTGTCTACTAATGATACTATAGTACAGTATATGTAGCAATAGAAGTCCTGCTTTTATAAAAGTTTTCATGAATATACACTGCAGTACCGTATAATCATGATTACTGTACAGTACTCCAATACAAGTATTTTAATTGCATTTGTATTCGGAAGAATTTCTGTTGCGTAATGTGTTCTGATGTTTTCTTGTTGCAATTCGGACAATTTTGGAATTCACTTCTACCACAACTCACTCGTTTTGGCTCTTCCCCCCACCCAGAATTGCATTCCTCGGTTATTGTTAGAGGGAGGGGCTGAATCCAAAATGGGTGGTTTCCAATAAAAACGAATGCCAGATTTGAACCAATCGCATTAAAAACCATCAGAATTGTTTTTTATCAGATTCTTTGGTTGCTGTAATCTGCAATTATACTTACATTGTGTGTTTTATAATTAACTTTAAAAATTTTGTGGATATTGCAATGGATGTTAATATTTTTTTATCTGAGGATTGGTCTTTTATACAGTATCTCATTTTAAAATTTACATGAGTAATTAATAGTATAGTATTAGTCTCTTGGTACATTGCAGGTGGATGTAGACTAATGTTTAGGATGATAAAAGGCAGAAATATTACAATTGCAATTCCTACAACTAATTTGTCATGTTCACAAAAAGAGGGAGAAATCCTCTTCAATATATAAGTACTGCAGTTGTAAATTAGTGGTCTATGAGTGACACTCTTTTAAGTACAGTACTGTATTACTGGGTACCCATGTTTTGGTAAAAATCCTGAATGGAGAAGAAAAATTTGCTAAAGGTGCAAAAGCATTCTAGAATACTATTAGCTTTCTTTTTAATACAGAATATTTTTATCTTTATAATTCACCAAGAGACTAATACTATACTATTAATTTACTCATGTAAATTTTAAAATGAGATACTGTATAAAAGACCAATCCTCAGATAAAAAAATATTAACATCCATTGCAATATCCACAAAATTTTTAAAGTTAATTATAAAACACACACAATGTAGGTATAATTGCAGATTACAGCAACCAAAGAATCTGGAAAAAAAAATTCTGATGGTTTTTAATGCGAGTGGTTCAAATCTGGCATTCGTTTTTATTTGAAACCACCCATTTTGGATTCAGCCCCCCCCCTCCCTCTAACAATAACGGAGGAATGCATTTCTGGGTGGGGGGAGAGCCAAAACGAGTGAGTTGTGGAAGAAGTGAATTCCAAAATTGTCCGAATCGCAACAAGAAAACATCAGAACACATTATGCTTTGCCCCCGGACGCTATAACATAAGAAAATAAGGAGTCTGCAATAGGCCGGTTGGCCTGTGCATGGCAGCTCCTGTCGAGAGTTACTACCACTCTCTATCATCAATGAATCTATCTAGCCTCCATTTAAAACTTTACAGCGTTCCAGCACTTACTACAAAGTTGCTAAGCTTGTTCCACTCATCCACCACCCTATTTGTGAACCAGTTCCTTCCTATCCCCCTCCTAAACATTAACTTATCCAACTTAAATCCGTTGCTACAAGTCCTATCCTGCTGGGATATTATAAGAACTTTATCTATATCTCCTTTATTGATTCCTTTCACCCACTTAAATACTTCTATCATATCTCCCCACACTCTTCATCTTTCTAGGGAATGCAAGTTTAGTTTCTTTAATCTATCTTGATATGGAAAGTTTCTAAGTCCATGAATCATTTTCATCATTCTTCGCTGCATCCAGAGTCACGTGGTCAGCCTCCGCTAAAATATAACAGGTGCTCTGATTTTTTCTTTTTAAAATTCAATAACTTCCTTATTATCAATTTGTGACGGATGTTTAATATAAGAAAATGATCATAGAAAAAATAGTTCTATCGATTGAATGTAGTGAATTTCCGGAATTCTTTGGTTGCTGTTTACTGCAATATTACCCACATGTACCCGCCCCCCCAGTAAAGTACACTTCCATACTGATTATCAAAACATAAATACCCTTCAATATAAGTTGAAGATTTAAGAAAAAAATCTATTACAGTAAAAAGATATTCAAAATAGTAATAATGTAGTATTTCAAATTCTACTCAAGATTGTAAAAACGGAGCACTCTTAACTATCTTCAATAGCATGAAAGAACATTCTTCCACATAACGTGGCACAAACAAGTACAAAGGTTAAACTTTTCTAACAAACATTATAATTCTAATTACTTGAGACAAAACTTATAAAAACTGTACCATATTATTAATTACCTGGGATTAATTTAGCAAAGGTGGTGAAGAAACTAAATGATTCCCGCACCTGGGGCTGGCATATGGCTGGTGGGCTGTCTTCACTCCCACCCATCTTGCCCATGAACTTAGAACATCATTGCTATATGTAAGGCTTCTTCCACCATAGTACTCTTAGCAGTTACCACAAGTTACAAAAAAGACAATTATATGATGCTTCTCTAAGTTAAGGCTCAGGCTTTCTGTTCTATATAATGATAGGAACTTTGTCAACTTGTCACTTTAAAATTTTGTACTTTTTAACTAGACAAAAATTACACAGCATCAATCATTAAAATTAAAAATTTCCAAAAATTTGAAATAATTGGTTCTTGTTTAGATTCACTATATTTTCAATCAAATACTAACATTAAGGCATCATAAGGCACTATAAATGATTCTTGGATATAAAAAAATATATATGTATATGGTGATCACCCGCAAGAATTATTTTAAAATTCACCAAGATTGATAACTGCAAAATTGCTAGACAGGTAGTATAAATTAATAACACCAAGCTCAAAATAGAGAATTTATAAAAGTGGGAGCTACAAAGTTGGTTCTGTCACGTGGTACATATGGTGGTAAAAAGTTGCCCCTTACAATTAGCAGATGTAAAGATAAGGCTCAGAGAACAGCGTTAGATACCTCCTGGTATGATCTACTCATACCAAGAGGCTGACTCACGCCACATCCCCCATACTGATGCTCAGGCAATTCGTCCTCACGTCCCTGGTGCCAGCCTTCCCGGTGACAGCCACTCTTATGTAACAATCACTGCCATTTACTCTTATCCAATCTTTTGTTCACTTCACTATACAATCTCACGGTCACTACGGTGTTGATTTATATTCAATACGTGAATGTTTACGACAATCAGTAGTTGTTGGGAGCACAAAGTATGAAGAGACTCGCCACTGCGCACCCGTCCCACCGTCGTCTGATACATTGTTTACCTCAGCAGCTGGTGGAGTTACCAACATGCTACTATTGTCTACCGTTTATTATTTACATGTGTCACTTCATTTAGTAAAACAGAATACATCTGATTGATAACATACACGAATAGAACACAATAGTAATATCTTATTAAAAAAATGAGAGGTAAGTTATGATAGAAAAATAGAGTATAATAACTAAATGACAATATAGTGCTCTTTGTGCCATCTATTAGCGTTCTCACAAACTAAAATACTGCAACGTCATCTTAACTTGACCGCTTTTAACACTGGATCAGAAGGAACACAACCGGTCAACTGCATATAATACAGTAGCTTGCATCTCACTAGTATTTTGTACGTTATCAAGTATTGCACATACGTTTTAT